AAATCCACCTGTCCTTAGTCTGTGGTCTGTTTGTGGAAGCAGCAGTGTGACATGTATTTTTTACTTAAGGCTACTACCTTATAGACTGTGCAGGTGGTTGTTCAAAAAAAGTTGAGTCATTTTTTTATATATATTTTGTTTTGAGTTTTTATTTCATGCATAGCCTACATAGTTACAAAAGAATAATATTCTGATTGTATTGAATTCTGCACTTCAAAGTTAACTGAAGTATGAAATGGCTACAACTAGTACCAGCACTAATCCTTTTTTTTTAACTAATCATTATTGAAACTAAAACAAATAAAAACTAACCAACTCACTCTAAAAACTACTGTAAATAAATCTTAATGAGTTAGCAAAAAGGCATACCTAAGCCATCAAAAAAACCCTAAACTATTGGCTCTTCCATGTGAAACATGTCAATTATGTTTAAGGAATATTGGTATAAAATTATTATTATTAATGTATTGTTGTGCAGTGTTAGCATAAGGGTCAAGTGCACAACCTTGTACAGAGGTGTCGGTGCTCGGCGTGGCTACCACAGGTTCAAGTCCAGACCTGCTGACCTTTGCCGCATGAATTTCCCCTCTCTACAGTCACGTTTCCTGTTTGCTGTCTGTTACGTTTCCTGTCTGTTTTTAAAGACTAAATAAAGGCCACTATTGTCTACAAAGTAGTAATGTATTGCGCTCTTTAAGGAAATGATTTTAAGTTTTCCTGTTGTTATCTAAGGTATATGGAAAAAGGAAATTCAAATGAGATGGTTGATTGGAGACCTTTATTGTAGATTTTCAATCAAAGAAATGCTAATAATGATTAGTAATAATTATCAAACAACTAATATACCAGAGATCACAATTTAACAAGGTAAACATGATGCAGTCAAATACATTTATTCAGCTTGCATGTTTCAGTTCTAATATCAGTGTGAATTTTTATCCACAAGAAAAATAAATCATCAGCAATGCATTTTAATATTTGTTATAAACATTCACAAGAGGATACAGAAATGACAGAAATTTTACTCCTTCATTTTAAGTGTTTTAATTTTGTTTGCAAACTTCACGAGTGCTTTAATGTTCTTCTACTCAGTGAACAGCAGATGACCAGAGAAGAAGCTGTCTCCGGTCAGTCCGTTGCCTCCATGGTTGGCCACCAGCCACACCCTGTCTCCCCTCTCCAGCTTGATGAAGGTGCTGCCGCTGGCTGAGATGTAGCCACTCTGGCGGGTGGTGAATGAGTGCAGAATTAGCTGTCCATTACGAAGAAGATCCACGCTGGCTGCGCTCCCATAGATGGTGCAGTGGAACTCAAACTCATAGACTCCTGGGTGCTCGCAGGTGAAAAAGCCGGTCTTGGTGTCATAGCTGTTCTGTCCATTGTAGATGACATCATGGAACGGGATGGGGCTGCCAGCTTTGGGGTAGTTGTTACCGAGGCGCACAGAGAAGGCAACTCTATCAGCTGTGCCGGGGGGTCCTGGTGGTCCTGGTGGACCTGGAGGTCCTCTGGGTCCTGTACAGAAAACCACACAATCATCATCACATTGCACATGAAGTATAGTATATCACAACCTGTTCTGCATAAGAAACATTGAATATAATTTCAAAAAGATGTTGAGCATTTACCTGCTGGTCCGGGAGGCCCACGTTGACCTTTAACGGGAATAAAGCAAAGCAAAAATCTTTATTTTTCACACAATTAAAACATGTGTATTAAATCTGTAATAAAAAAAAAAGAAAATTATCAACCTAACTATTCATAAATCAGACAAACATAGGTAGATATTTAACTGAAACTCCTCCATCTTTATCAGATTGTCAAAAATTAAATGAGAAGATATAAAAGCAAAGGTTAATCACATGAATACTAATTGTTTGAGCTATGTAAACTTGAAATAAACACGTACATAAGGAAAATAACTGTATTTTCAAGTGATAATAGAGCATTAGTAACAACAGCTATCAATTGTAAATTGAATTTTTTACCTGTTGGTGATTGTGGTTCCTCTGCACCTTCAGATAGAGAAATAAATCAATGTATATCTCATATGTGAAATTTCCAAGAGGCACTAGTTGATAGAATATGTTAATGCAAACATACCACCCTCCCTCCATGGATTGAGGTCAAATGCAGGGATGTCATCACACTGGGTGTATCCAGAACCTCGGGGTCGGTACAGGAAAGGTTTCTCAGGAACCTCAGTGATCCCTGTGTTGTCACAGATAATTCTGGCCAGAGATGAGTCCCTCAGGGCTAGCCTCTGTGCATCTGTGAAGACACCATTGTTCTCCCACCAAAACCTGACATGAGACACATTGTCTTAGTTTAGTTTTCGAGGATGTAAAAAACACACAATATGCAGTGATGTTTAGATCATAGTTTAGTCAATATCTGTCCACTAACCGGTCTCCCTCACGGATCCTCTGGAACTGAGTGGATATCAGACAGGCAAACAGGGGTCCCACTCTTCCTCCGTGGACAAATGGCTCAGCTACACCTCCCAGCCATGGGTCGATGTTTTCAGGTGTACCATACAGGTCCAGCAGTGCTTGAGCCAAGTCTGTGTTGTTCATCACCTCAGCCAACTCACTCAGAGTCCTTGGCTGTGACAGGCCACAGAACTCTCGCCATTTGTTGTAGCCTAAAATAGGAAGGGATAGGGTAAACCATAATGTGTGAACTGTGGAAATGACTTCAGCCAGAGCTATAGGAAGGCTGAATTAGAAATTGTTCATTAATAATTAGTAAATACCAGGAAGTCCATGGTCTCTTCCTCTCTGAAGGTTTAGAGATCCCAGATCCAGAGCCAGCTCTACAGAGAATTTAAACAGTCTGTCCCTCAACTCCTCAGTCAACATGTGACTTTGTGTGTTCAGCTTTGCCTGGCGACCTATAAGGCCTCTCACAATTGGATCCAATCCACCTGAAGAGACATTGGAAACATTTAGTATGTTTTTCAAGTTCATTTGCATCCATCAGGAGGTGATAGAAGTTCAAGATCTTACCTTCGAACACAACCCTCCAAGGAGCAAACATGGTTCTGTGCAGCAGCTCGCTGGGATAATTTGGATGCTCCTCATAATTCTCATCAAGACGGAACATGAAGGGCTGAACCATCAGATGAGCAAATCTGTAGGCAGCTGTGGCAAAAACGTTGGAGATGCTCGGATCTATTTGGTCATTATAACCAGGGTAGGTGGACAAATGGCTGGAAATGGCCTCTGGACCAACAATATGGAGAAGCCAGTCCCTATAAGTGATAACCTTTAATACAAAAGAAGAACAGAATTAATTTTATAGTGATAACAATTGCTGGTCTTAAACAATGCTGAAATTTCAATTACAGCCTATTTTTAGTTATCTGAACTGTTTAGAAGCCATTTGGTCATGCTGGAGAATGTTGAGTTTTGTTGAGGTTTTAGTATACACATTTAACCCTGTAGATCTGTCTTAATTTAATCTATATGTATACACATAACTGTGGCCCTATGTCTGTGATATGAAATTTTTTTTCACAGATCTCGGCTCCTTCTCCTATCTCTTACCTGCATGTACCCTCCCATAATCTTGCGTGCTTCCTGGTAGAGCCTTTCTCCGTCCCACTGTGGGTTGAGCTGATGGAGGGCACGGGCCAGACGGTTATGCTCTCTCATCATGAGAGTGTGCAAAGAGGCCAGTCCGATGTTTTCATTGGAACGGTCATCGCCTTTAAGGTCAAATTAAACCAAATTACTTCCAAACCAAACAAAAAATGTTCAGTTATTGAGGCATGCTTTGTCCTTACCGATTTAAAAAAAAAAATCGATATTTTTTAAGAGGCTTACCAGCAAGAAAGCAAAACACCTCCTCAGCACTGTCATCATTGGTCATTTTTCGCCTTGTGGCACACATGTTGGCCATCATGGTTGTGAATGGCAGGAGTTCATGGTCGTTGTCTCTATGGTCTTCATTGACCCTCAACAGACCCTCATCTGTACTGAAGTCCCGGAGAAGTCGAGCTTTGCTGTCATCAGAACCATAGACCTGACCCACATCGATGAAGGCAGTCAGGGTATTGAGTTGTTGGCGAACAGTGGGTGTTCCGAAGATGTGTCCTGTGTTACCAGAACCACAAGCTGGTGCAGAGCGGGAGAATGGCATACACTCCTCAGGGTGGCCTCGGGGGTCATCACGGGGAAACTGTTCAGATAAAAGGATACTGTTATGATTTAATGCTTTAAATGTATTTTAAGGTTTTGTTAATAACAATCTACGGATCCAACACCACTTACACGTACTTCCCAGCCATAGCTGTATATAATCTGTGAATATTTGATTTATCTGCTGTTATCTGTCATCGTTTATCCTGTAGTTTAACCCCAAAATAAATATATATATATATATATATATATATATATATATATATATATATATATATATATATATATATATATATATATATATATAATCCATATCCTAACTTTCCTGTACAATTTGTATATAGCTTCCATATTTATTTCTTTTATAGCCTCTTACAATTACTCTCTTTTTATATATCTCATTTATAATCCATATATATACATAGTGTCTGTACACATATAAATAAATATTTATATCCTGTATAGTTGCATCTGGATAGATGCAAACTACATTTTGTTGCTTTGTACTTGTGACAGTGTAATGACAATAAAGTTGAATTCTATTCTATTCCAAAATAATGAAAAAAAATGCATGTACACTGACCTCTATGGGAAAGCATGGCTCTGTGTTGGCACAGCTGTGTTCACAATCAATGCCGTCATTAAATGATCTTATGGAAGGAGAGTGAGGGGTGAAGGTGAGGTCGTGGTCAGTCCATTGGCCAAAGATTGTGACCAGGTGGGTGTAAAGGGGGTCACTGTCCACTTCAGAGTTTGCTGTTGACAGGATACGGTTGGACACATTTCTCACCTGAGGACAAGACAAAGACAACAGAGATGGGTTTGAGTATCCTAAGTCTACTGATAAATTGTAGATTTTTTTTTCAGTAAAGCTGCTTTAAAGGTGGTTACCAAGGGAAGAATGTGGTTATTAACTGCCTGGGAGCGGGTCCAGCCTTTCGGGGAACTGATTTCATCTTCATACTCCGCTGCTACCCAGCGGAGGAACGGGATGTTGGAGGCACCCCAACGAGGGTTTTCACTATAAAGGAGAGCAATAAAACCTGAGTTGGATAATTGAATGTTTTTTAAATGGCTCTGACATATCACAGAAATATAAACCCAAACCTTAACACCACCTTCCCAAACTATATTAAATTGCAGTACTGTAGTAGCTCTTGCTGCTTTGATTTCTATGTGACAGTTAGTTCTGGCTATCAGTAGTTTGAAGTTAAAATACTATAATAAATAGTTTCCTTACAGGTTGTTGCAGATGCTGTTTGCTGTGCGATAATTGTTCAGGTTGGGAAGATCACTGCAGTGAACATTCCTGACTTGAGCAGAGCAGCCTGTCAATCTGGCAATCACTTCCAGGTCCCCCTCAGAGATCAGGTCTTAATAAAAGAATAAATAAAACTGATGTTAGCTTTCACTTTCAGTTATGCCAGCTTGCCTTAGAGAAAAATATAAACACCAACCTGTGGCATTGATGGAACGTTTGTGACGTTTTGACAGAGTCCTCTTGATCAAATGCAGAGTGTTGTCCATGTAGTCTGCAGCTCGCACTGCCTCCCTGGATGGTCCATTGGGCTGCTTCAGGAGTCTCAGGACATCTGCCGGGCTTGCTGCATTTCTCCTTACTCGATCAATACTCCTGTATTGTATATGGAGTTGAGATATTCAACCACATCTTTTAGAGAGTGTTTGCTTCAAAATTAAGCAGCAAAATAAAAACAGAGGGATAGGGCTCTATACTCACACTTGGCGGGAGTATGTATAGGCTGCATCCACGTTGGCTTTGGCCTTATTCACACATTTTTCAATGAAAGTGTGGCTCAAATGGCGTTCTGAATTAAGCAAAATCAAATTCTTTAGTTTCTAGTTAACAATTAATTGGTTATGTGATATCATTAAATTATAATTAAGTTTACTTTTAACCCAAAGACAACTTCCAAAGTAAAAAATATATAAGTGTGTTTATATAAATAAGAGGTGTATGACAAAACATTTGGTAGTTCTCTCTGGAACTTATCAGAAAAATGTTATGTTTGTTTGTCTCTAAGGTATCCAAAGAAGAAAGCTACTCACTGGCATCCACTTGGCATTGCAAGCCTAGGGTTAGACCAACAGCCAATAGGCAGAGAAACGTATTCATCCCTACGGAAATAACAAATGTTCTATATTAGTGAAAAGACATATTCAAAAAGTTAAAACAAAGTGAAAAAAAAAAATTTTTTCCATAGAATTTCTAAATAAGATTACCTGTAATGAAGCTCAGCTTTTACTCCAAAGTTGTCTTTCTGATCCACCTAGGACTTCAAGCTGCTGCATTAAGTCACTAAAGCTTAGAGTCAACTGCTTTCTTTTTATATTCTGTGGGCGTGTTTTTGTTCTTATTACAAGACTGTCATGTCAGGAATCTTAACTTGCCAAAGAATTTATTTTCTTCTTCCTAGTTCCGTGCTTCCCGCATCTCACCTTCAAAACTTCAGCATTAAGGAATGATATATCTGTCAACATCTTTGGATTTAGCTTCTGTTTATCATATTTTTTCTGGGTTTAAAAAAAACTCACTTTAAATAAGATTTCAAATGTTGAAGCAAATTGTACAGTAGAAAATGTAATATTTCAGTGTTCAGCTTCTGTCATTTAACACAATGTTTTTACCCCAGCAGATTTTCATTTCTGTTAAAAATGAATTGGGGCTCTCCAGCAGTCAACAGTAGAATGATGGGGTACATTTGCTCACCTGTACATATAAGTCATTTTAGTCAATGAGTTTTCTTTTCTTCCTTTATATGTTAATGCTTCTGTATATAGCTGTAGTTATTCAAATGTTGCTTTAATAAAAAAATATGTCCCATTTTCAGAGAAAACATGGCTTTAGAGCCAGCTGGTAGTTGAAAGTCCATATGTGACTTCCTGAGAATGACAAGAACAGCAGAAGCTGTAAAACAAGTTTCGACTACTATTTTGACATGAGCAAAAGAAAAGTAGAACACAAATGACAAACTGCTTAAAGAGTTTAAACCCTTTTAAAAAGACTAAATAAAAAAATTGTCTTTACTGTCCAAAAACCACAAGATTTTTTTTTTTTAATTGTAATAAAGTCTTTTACTTGTTGTCCATGTCAGATACACATAAAATGCACCCTCATTGCATGACGAAAGAAGATTTTTGTCCTTGGAGATTACTTGAAGATAATTTTGCACTAGGCCATCTTATCAAGAAAACTAAAAATTGGTAAGAAATAATGTATTATACCAGCATTTTAATGATTTTTTTTTTTTTCTAAAAAGCATCAAAGTACATCTGTAGTATTAACACTGAGGGCAGTATGTTATTTTATTTCTTAACTAGCTTCCTTTCATCTATTTTAAGGTCTCCACAGTTTTATGTTTGGTTTTGCTTTGTTTTTGAACAGTTTTTTGGTTTTGGTTTACTCAATTTCCCTTTAGGATACATAGAGGATTTTTGAAGATAATTTAACCAGTTTGAATTCTGAAAGATCTGGAGGTCAGATATTTAAATAATAAAAAAAAAAACAACAATATAAGATTTTAGGGTTAAATCCCCTTTCTGATACACACTAGAAAAGGTTGCAGTCATGCACATAAAACCAATGCAAGTACAGTATCACTCTTCTTATCATCCTTATCACTCATGCGAAGGCAGCTGTGAAAGGTGTGTCTACAAGGTTCCTGGGATTCTTTTTTTAGAACAAGACAAAAAAAAACTCAGTCATCATTCCTGCTCATTATCTTTCTCTCGGCAATCCCTTGCATCACATGTAGTGGCTTCTAATTAGTGCAACTATTTCCCAACAGTAATTGTAGCAATGCAAAGATCTGCTGCTATTTGAATCATATTTTTCGGAAAAGAAGGTTGGAAAAAAGTGGTCAGATTTCCGCTTCAACTTGAGACAGTGAATTAATTAATTATCTCTGTAAACTGTTGACATATTTGTTACTTTGAATGTTAAAATCTGCTTGACAGAAACAGTTGTTCCTGTTCAACTTAGGACTTTGCATAAAATTTCAGATTTTGACAATAATCTACCAAATTTTACCTTACTAGAAAAAAAAGTAAGTAGGCCTACCACCTAAAAAAAAACTTGAAAATCTAAACTGAACATTTTCAGACATTTTGCAAGACATTCTGATCAGTCTAACAGAGTAATAATAATAATTGAACTCACATTGGAGAAATTTACCTCTGAATTTAACCCATCTCCTTGGGAAGCAGTGGGCGGTCATTGTGTAGCGCCCGGGGAGCGGTGTGCTCAGGGTCTTGCTCAGGAACCCAGAGTGGAGGCTGTGGGGATCAAACCGGGTACTTGCAACCTTCTCAGAGCCAAGCACGCTGCTCTAACCACTAGGCCAACAATCCCCACTCATCATAACTCATTAGTAGCATTGGTGGATAACACTATTTTAAGAAAAACTTTATAGCCTATATTAGGGCTGCACAATTAATTTAATTTGCATGCAATTGCAATTTAGCAAATTACAATTTTCACATTAACATTACCCCAGGCACCACACAATGGCAGCCCACTGCTCCCCAAGGGGATGGGTCAAATGCAGAGAGAGAATTTCCCCATAAAGGGATTTACATTACATTACATTACATTATGTAATACACCTAAAGTTGGTTTGCCACCATACAGATGGGAGGAGAGGATTGCAGGTGGTGCACAGATCTATGTACAATATTATAAATACGAGCTTTTTCACACAAAGGTTAAGTTTCATACAAAGGTAAAGTCCTGCACAAATTAACTCTGGACAAACAAGCTTTTAGGGTGATGAAAAAAAACTGAAAGCCAGAAGTGAAACAGCTACATGCTTGTGGTTGGTGCAAAGGAAAATTGCAATAAAATTGCAATCGCAGTATTGTTTGAAAATAATTGCAGTTTTGATTTCTGGCTAAATCGTTCAGCTCTAGCCGAGATCATGAGTGAGCAACCTCCACTGTCTGATCAGTGATATACCAGCACTGCCTAAGAAATATTATCTAGACCTGCAACATATGAACAAAACATCCTAGACCACCGGAAAATTCACAGTGCCTACAGTAACTACAGTACACTTTCCATAAGATATTATAAAACTTTGAGAGCATTCTACATATTTGAATGGGCCAATGTGTAAATTTCTAGTCATCCTATATCAGATGTTGTCTTTAGGTTTCTCTAAAGCTGATCATTTCACCCAGCTCAGCATCCCTCTCTGCCATACCAAAACATCTCTTTGCTTCCTTTTATCTGCAAAGCTTTGGGGTTTTTCTCCTCCTAAGAATCTGTTTTGTCTTATCTCATCCCATCTTTTGCCCTCATATTTAGTTCAAGATTAAACTGATTTACAGTTGTTAAAATATTTTTGGCACATTTGTACGGTGGCTGAGAAGTGCAAAACACATTTACAATTCAAAAACACATTAGCAAATAAAAAACAAAATAACATTTGAAGAAACAAAATTATAATTTATGAAACAAATGTATTTTTGAAAAAAAAGTTAAAATTTTTAAAAACAAATTTACATTTTAGCAAGCAAATTTTCATTTTATTAATGTGTTTTTGAATTGTAAATGTGTTTTTAAAAATTTAAACTTTTTTTTCAAAAATACATTTGTTTCATAAAATATAATTTTGTTTCTTCAAATGTTATTTTTGTTTTTTATTTGTTAATGTGTTTTTGAATTGTAAATGTGTTTTGCACTTCTCAGCCACCGTACATTTACATGGTCATAGTCTTAAACCTAAACATACAGTACATACAGTAATCAAATGTGCATCTCATTCGTGCTAATAACTGGAGGGACCAGTAATGTTTTTTGCTATTGCAACCAGATTAAAACTGATATGATTCCATGAAGGGATCTGATTACTAACCCAGCCAATGGATCATCATGGCTGCCTCCAGCATAACTTCTATTTCTCTGCTTCACTTACCGGTAGTTTTTATTTTGCTAGTAAGAAGTTGAGTGTTGGCTTTAAGGTAGATTAACTTAGACTCACGCTGAGCTGCTTTGCTGACATAAATCAACACTGGGGGTGGTGAAGAGAATACATTATTCCTCTAAACAACAAACATGTCAGTAACCAATGGCACCCTTTTCGGTGGCACATTTTTGTTCCACTGATTAACTGAGGATGCACTCTGTCATAAAAAGATGTGAGTCTAAAAGCAACACCACCCTAGAGATCAGGGCTCTTGGACTTTGGACTGTCTATGTTGTATCAATAAGTTTTCAATGTGTTACCAATGAATTTCTTCATTGCTTACACTACCTTACTAGATTAAACTGTTAATGTCTAGTTTATATTCCCATGTGATTCTTATATTATCATTAAGGTGGACCCGCTGTTAGAATTGACGCAGTAAAGTAAACTAAGGGTTTGAAAACTGTTAGATTCATTCTTCTTCAGCCCACATCCAAGAATTGCAATGATAATGGTGGAACAAAATTTTTTTTCTCACTTGTTAAATTATTACAGCATAAGCGAAAACAATTTATAACCAAAATATTCATCCTGTTAATATCAAATATATTTTCTTAAGCATGACCTATTTCAGTGACACTCAAGTAACTATTTATAATACAATAATAAAACTGAGAATTTAAAAAAAAATCATTAATCAAAAGATGGAGAAGGAATGACAGAAAAGTTGAAATGGTGGAAGAAAGGGGAAATTGTTTAATAGGATCAAAGAGGCAGCATGAGAAATGATACCTGAAATAAAGAGCAGCAAGGAGGAAAGATTAATATTAAAGACTATAATTTTGACATTAACTCCAAGGACTCAAAAGCACACTACACCCCCCTGAGATAGCCTTGTCAATTACACCACTTCATGTGGCTCAGAAGCTGCAGTTGAAGGTCATAAAATAAAATAAAAAAACAATGCTTCCAAAATCAAATATTCAAGACAATAGAAACTGCTGTTAACACATCTGCATTAGAATTAAATGTTGAAATGTATTTGCTTAGCTCTTTGCAGCAGCTCACGTCAATACTATGTATTTCACACAATAACAACATTCCTTCTGTTTATTTTCTGTCAAAAAAACTTTCATATTTCATATTTGTTTAGAACTACATTGCAGGTAAAGTTGCATTTTGTAAGAACTTCCCAAGTCAACTATGTAGTTTAATAATACAAAGACAAAAGGTACAATATTTACTCCTACACTTATGGTAAGTCATAGACTGCTTCCTTCTATCATTTTGAGATGGGAGATAAGCGTTCCTCAATGCTAATAATAGAAGCAATTTAATTGATGGGTATTTGTTTTGCAATTAAATTATTGGCAGCATGACAAGGAATTTCTGTCATGACAGAGTCACAAAAAATGAGGAAAAAAAGAACAGCATGATGGGAAAAAAGATGTTT